TGCCTATTAAAGTACTTCCTTTAATACTGGAAAAAAGTGTAACGAAAGTAATAACAAAATATAATGAAAACATTTTTTACCTTTCTTTTTCAAAGATAATTTTGCTGGGTATAGGTTTATAACTTTTTTTCCCTTTAGTATTTTAACAATGTTGCTCAACCCTCTTCTTGCTTACCTTGTTTCCAGTGAGAAATCTGAAGTCATTCTTACCATTGTTCCTCTATAATAGCCATTATCTACTTTTAAGGTATTCTGTTTTAGGGGCGCTTGGTGGCTCAGCTGGTTAAGCATTCGGTTCTTGGTTTTGGCTTAGGTCATGATCTCACGTTTCGGGAGTTCAGGTCCTGCTTTAGGCTCTGCCACTAACGGTGAGGAACCTGCTTGGGATTCTCTCTCCCCACCTCTCTCTGCCCCTCTCCCACTTCTGGTCTCACCAAAAAAAAAAAAAAAAAAAAGATACTGTTTTATTCAAAGTTCTCTAGAGAAACAGATCAATAGAATGTGTGTGTATATACAGAAAGGTTTAAGTAACTGACTTAATTGTGGAGGCTGGCAAATCAGTATCTGCAGAGTAGGCCTGGTTTCATCTGGAGAACCAGATAACAGCTGATGCTTCAGGTCAAGTCCAAAGGCTACCTGATACAGACTGGATCAGATCCACCCACATGATAGGGGGCTGTCTGCTTACCTCAAAGTCCAGTGACTTAAATATTCATCTCATCCCCAAACACAAGCATCCAGGATTGTATATGACCACCTACCTGGGCACCATGGCCCAGCCAGGTTGACAATATAAAAATCAACCCCATACTTTATCACTGGTTTTGAGCAACTTTATCATATTGCTTTGTGTAGTTTGCTCATATACTGTTCTTGAGGTTTAATGAGTTTCTTGGATTTGTTGTTAAATTTCTTTAAGTTTAAACATATTTTAGACATTGTGTCTTCAAATATCTTTTTCTGTCCCTTTCTCCACCCTCTACCTTTGCAGACTCCAATGACCCATGCTTGGGGACTGGAAGATGTCCCACAGTTGATGTTGGTCTTTGCATTTCCCATTTTCTCCTCCCTCTCTCAACGCTTTGGGTGGTCTCTAATATTAATGGCCTTCAAAGTTATTACTCTTCTGTTCTGCAATGTCCAATCTGCCATGAATCCTAACGGGTGCATATTCATCTCAGATATTGTTGTATTCTCCACTAGAACTTTTATATGGGTCTTTTAAAAATCTTCCATGTCTCTACTGAACTCTATGAACAGATGGAATTCATTTATAGTAACAATTTTAAGTCTTTCTTTGCTAATTCCTTTATCCATGTCAGTTCTGAGTCAGATTCAGTTTATTTTTCTTACTGTAAATCATGTTTTTCCGCTTCTTTACATGGCTGGTAATATTTGACTGAGTGTAACACTGTAAATCTTATCTTAGGTGCTGGGTAATTCCGTTTTCTGTAAATCTCATAGAGCTTTGTTCTAGGATACATTAAAGTTAGTAGCAAACAGTTTGAGCCTTTGGTCTTATTAATATGATTTCTTAGGTGGGTCTAGAGCAGCACTTTTGGGCTATTCCTGAGACACGTTCCTCCTGAGTACTCCACCCAGTACCTTCTGAATTATGGTTTTTCCAGTCTGGCTAGTGAGAACAGCCATAACTTTTAGCTTTGTGTGAACACCAGGCCATCTTCCTGCTACTCCTCCTTTCAAATGTTCCTTTCCCTGGCCTTGGGTAGTTTCCTCATGTGTCTGCACTGAATACATTCCTGGTCACTCAAGGGAGACCCTCTGTGGGATGGTAAACCCATTCTAGTTATTCTGTTTTGACAGAATCAGAAGTCCTCATTCTTACTGTCACTGCCTTCTGATGAGCATCTTCATCTCTCCTTCTCTCTGTTCTACTATTACACCTCTGTCCACAGCACCCCTCCTTGTAAATACAAATTCCCTGGACCCTGCTTTCTCTGTTGCTGCCTACTTTCTTGAAAGAGTGGTCTATGTCTTGGCCAAGAGGCCAAGGAGTGAAAAGAAGGTCTATACATTGTCATTTCCTCTGTTCACCACTCTCTTATTGCTCAGGATGGTTTCTACCCTACGACTCTGTTGAAGCTGTTCACTAATGACCATAATATCACCACACCCAATAGCCCTTTCTCAGACCTGAGGCTGATGATTATTAACTCCAGTTCTTTTGGCTTCTTGTTCATATTTGACTCTATGATACCATATAGAACTGCCTGGCTTAGATCCCTGTCTTGTGCAGATGTTAGAATGTAAGCTTGAAAGGGTAGAAATGTTGATCTGTTAACTAAAGCATACTCAGTGCCTAAATCAGTGGCAGTCGTGTAAGAGGTGTTCAACAAATGTGGGACAAATGAATGAAACAGTTGGTGCTTAGCACCCTTCCTCCTTTGTACTACCCAACATCCCTCAACAATCTCTTCTAAACTCACAATTCAGTTGCCTCTCAAATCCAGATCCAAACTCTCTCTAGTCAGCTTGTCTTCTGGCATTTGGATCATTGGTGAAAGTACTGCCAATACCTCAAAATTAGTATGTCCAAAGCCAAACTCATCATTTATCTTAAAACTGTCTGTCATGTTTTCTTGACTTTTTACAATTCACCCTATCACTAGGCTACACACTTAAAAAACATGTGATTCTTTGCTCTTCCTTCCTTTCCTCTCTATTACCAGATGTGATTATTGCTCTTCCAGAATCAATCACAACTGCCTCTAAGTCTCCATCCCCACAATTGCTGTCCCTACTGGATCAGCTCTCCATGGTACAAGTCTCTCTCAGAAGCTCCTCTAGCGTCAGGTCACAACACATCTGACACCTCTGTGTCCTTGGCCTCAACCCAGGAAGATCGCTGTTCTCTGAACACATCCTCTGCTTCCTCCTATCCTTCCTCTCCTCACCTCATTTCTCTGGGCTCAGATATTATTCACCATGAGGCCTTCCTCAAATGTAACATCCCCATATGGCTTCTTTGACTCCTCAGATTAGATATGACCCCTTAGCACTCTCATTTTTACCATATGTGTACAGTGCATATCACATTGTCTTAAATATGCAATAAATATCAACTGCTTGTCATTAGAGATCTTATCTTCCTGAGTGTAAACTTCTAGATATCAGAGACTTTCAAAAAGGCCTCCAAAAAGTCACTGTGCCTGGTTCAGGATAATGACAACTCATAGAAGCTTGAAAGTCAACTCAACATCTCCTGTGTCAGAAAAAAATCAACTAGCACACAAGATTACTATCGGTTCCCATAAAAGGAAAACACTAAAAATCTAGTAGAAACAGAGGACGTATTGCCATTTACAACTGTAATGTTATTTACAGGTATTTTCTTTTACATTATAATTCAAAACTCCTTTTCTAGCAATAATATTTCTGATTTATGCCTCTGATAAGACTACATTTTTTTTTGACAGATTTTAGGGGAAGTTATTTTGCTTGAAAAGAATTACTGAGTTAATAAGGTGTGCATAATTTCATAACCCATTTCTCCAAAGATATCCACAATTTTACCAACAACCAGCCAATATTATTCTCATCACAAATTCTAAGTCTTGGGGATAACTAAACTTGACTTAAAGCCTTGAACTGGCACTCTAACACTAACTGTGTGACAACAGCCATGTCACCATACCTTTGAGCCTCAGATGATTTAAAGACAGAATCTGCAAAAAGAATCTTACCTGACATGTAAAGCCATTATGAGGCTCACAGAGATATGATACTTTCTGCAAAAACAGACTCAAATTACTACAGCCTCTAATTCACTCAACCAACATTTGGAGCTATGCCCAAACTTTATGCCACATTTGGCATGATATAAACCCAAAAAAGATGCTCTAACTGCCCTTAAGAGCTTACACCTCAGGTTGGGGAGACTAACATGTAGACAGCAGTGTTGCAGGCACTAAAAGACAGAAATATGGACAATACACAGTGAGGGGAAAAGGGAGTGCTCAGTTCTGTCTTGGGGTAAAGGAAAACAGTCAGAAACAGCCTCACACGTTAAGGCCACACTTGAGCTCTGCTCACCTTGTCGTCTCAACAATTATCACAAACCCCTTCATCTTTATCCTTTAACCAAGCTATGTCTCTATTGGTTTACAGGCCCCCAGTGTCTCATCTACAATTCTAAAATCTGAAAAGCTCCAAAAGCCTATCTTATTTGATGACATACCTGACCCTAACCCATATAAGCCTCTTCTTCGTCATCCACATTTTTCCTATTTGTTAGGAAATCCTAGTTAATGAGTCCATCACTCACCCCTCGCCTAAGCCAGGACATGAGTCATCTTTGGCTATTTTCTCTCACCTTCCAAACCCAACCAGCCACTAAGTGCACTCTTGCTCTATCTTCCTTGGGGTGGGGGCATGTCTCGCACACTGGGATATCTGGCAGAATCCCTGGCATCTACCTAACGGAAGACAGTGTCTACCACCCCCCGCCCCCCGCCCAGTGTGACAACCCAAGGTTTTGCCTGATTGAGAACCACCACCCAGACAGACTTCTTGGCCACGTCTGGAAACAACATAACCTGATCAATGGTTCCTGCACTGACATGTCCCAGGTGGGAGCTATGAGGAAAGAAGATTCAGACTCCATCAGCTGTACCATTCATGGAGGGTATGACCCAACACAAGTATGCCAGAGTGACTCTTCACAGGAGACTATTACTCCGTGAGCCGGAGATGAAGCTATTTTGTTACAGTACTAGAGTTCCAGGTTTCTGCATTCGTTTGTATTAAAATTCTCCTGAGCTTGACTTATTCAGTGGCATTGAAATATTCAACAAGAGAGATACAGGGTGTAGCAATTTAATGCCACTCACCGCCCCCAACTCTATTTTGGAAAACAGAACATCCAAAAATAAACAAACTGACTGAAGGATGTAACTACAGATAGAGGGTGCCACAAATAGCTTCAGACACAAGACCGTTTTGGGGATAAGAAAGGGACAGAACTCGGGCACGGTACCCACCTGTGGTCGACACGACGTTCTCGGGACTTTCACTGCAGAGCTTTGACAACAGACTGGTCTTGCCAGAGCCTGTGAGGCCTATGCAAACCAGGTCATATTCAGGTCGTGCAGGTGGTGGCCCCTTGCAGCAAAGTGCTCTAAAACACTGCCAAGAGAGGGGGGAGAGATGTGGTGCTTTTAAATAAGACTGGACACAAAGCTTAGTAACATATGCAATGACCAAGTATTAGGAAGTAATTAAATAACCTATTCATTATAAGAAGCAAAGGTAACTTCAGGGTGAGAAACTCCGAAGACACCATCTTTTTAACCAAGCAATAGACGGTAACATCCCTAGGAATGAGACCTACAGGGACTTCACGGCTCCCCACCTATTGTGACCGGCACCCTGCGAGGGGCAGGACATCATCACTCGGCTCTCCTGCCAAAAATACACAACCTGAATCTAAGTATGAGACAACTTCAGACAAAACCATACTGAGGAGCATTCCACAAGACAGCTGACCTGTTCTCTAAAATCTCAAGGTCGTACAAGTTGAAGAAACGCTGAGGAGTTGTTGTAGGGTAGAGAAGACTAGAGACAGGAGAACCAAATGCAGTGCTTTCTGGACCGGACCCTTGGAACATGCAGAGGAGAAATGGCAGAAATGACACTGGTACAAGAGCTGAGGATGGACTGGAGGCTGCACAGTTGTTCACGGGATTACAGAGAGTCCAGTTTCCTGAATCTCATCGTTGTACTGGGCTGATAAAAGGAAAATCCTTGTTCTGAAAACACACATTCTGAAGTATTTTAGAGATGATGGGTCTTGATGTCTATAACTAATTGGTTAAGAGAATTTCTACCTCTGTGTCCATCGTCAGCTCTACACGGTGAGAACTGTGACAGAGCAAACATGGTAAAGATGTTAATGACTGGTGAAACAGAGAGTCATAGGAAAATTCCTTGTATTTGTTTTTTTTTTTTTTTTTTAATCTTTTAGTGTCTGTTTATTTTTGAGCAAGAGAGAAACAGAGTGTGGGTGAGGGAAGGGCAGAGAGAGAGACAGAATGTGGAGCAGGCTCCAGGCTCTGAGCTGTCAGCACAGAGCCCAATGCAGGGCTTGAACTCATGGAACTGTGAGACCATGACCTGAGCCAAAGTTGGACACTTAACCGACTAAGCCACCCAGGAGCCCCTGTATTCGTTTTACAACTCTGGTGTTATTTCAAAATAAAAAGCTTTTACAAATCATTAAACTGAGCCCCTGTATCTATCACTGCCATCATGACCTGGGCCAAGTTCTGTTTCAGGTGAACTGACCTCAGGGTACTATGAATAGTTGTACAGTTTGTACATGGCAAGAACCTGTTTGCTCTCCAAGAGTTAAAGGCAGAAAGACTTGGGAGACTGGAAATTAGGCAATTTATGATCTACTTACTTGACATTCATTTATTAGGGGCCTATTATGTGCCAACTTGTAGAGCCTGAAATATTTAGGTCCTCAATAATTCAGGAGAGAAAAAGGGCGGGGGGGGGGGGGGGGCCTATTGACTGCTAGATCATCTGGAGATCCTAAGAGAAAAGACTTAGGAAAAGTCTGTGGGAATTTTCATTCAGATAAAATCTGAGGCCTAATTGTCTCTCATAAGTCGAATTTGACTATTTCTCTCTCATACTTCTCATGTCCCCTTAGTCAACAAATCCAGTCCGTGGCCCCTCTGAAACAGCTTTAGAACATGCCCACGGCTCTCTAGTCCAAGCCACCGTCACCCAGACAGTATCAACATTCTCCCACTGGTCTCCATTCTCCATGAGGAGGCCACCATGATTTTTTATTAAAACAAAATCTGATCTTATCTGCCTTAACTCGCTTCAGTGACTTCCTACCGTTCTAGGATCTAAACGCTTAAGACCTCCAAAGTTCCAAAATCTGCTCCACCAGCCCACCCCTCTGGCCTCTTCTCTGGCCACTCTCCACTCACTCCTCCCTCACTTTGCCCCCAGTCATGCCAACCCTCTGGCAGCCTCAGGCACTCCCGGATGCTGTTCCCTCTCCTCCCAGCTCTTAGCTCAGTGGACTTGTCAGCTTTCAGGTCTCAGCCCCTTCTCCAGGGGTACCTGTTCTGATCCTATGAGAACGTGAGCCATTTCCATCAAGCTCTCACACATGCTGGTCATTCATCACACGCACTATTACAGTTTCCTATTCATCACCAAACTGTGGGAACCAGACCTCTCCATCTTCATCCCAGCATCCCCAGGGCTTTGAGGAAAGACATGGCACGTAATCTACCCTCAATGAATAAATTTTGAATGAAGAACCCACGACACTGAAAATTCACCTAAGAAACAAAGAGAATGTAAAGGCTAATGGGAAGCTTGATCTAAGCTCTCTTGGGGCCCCTCACATGTCAAGAAAAATGTATCAAAATAAGAGTTAACTGTTGACCCTTTCACTTTATTTCAAGGCCGTAAGTTAGTCTAGTTTAAGAGTGATTTTACTGGGCAGGGTCTGCTTTCCCAGTATGAGAGAGCTTCTCTTTTGTCCCCAGTTCACTTTTCCTCAGCTTTTAAGAGGTTTTCCCTACTTTTGGTAAACAATTCTATGATCATCTAATCCATATTCTTTGCAAATTAAACTCTAATCATATTTCCTCTCTGTCTTTTCAAGCCTGAGGAGCCCTAATTGTTTCAGTCTGCCGGCATATAGCAATCCCTCCTGCTCCATCACATTAGTTCTGTTCTCTGGCGTTACTTGAGTTCCATTATGCCTTCCTCTTACAAGATTAATGACCACAACTATAAACAGCATCCTAGATGCCAGCACATCACTTCCTAGATTCTGATGAAGGCTGGTTGATACTGTCTGACTTTATGCAAATTTTATCTGCAAGTCTCCTGGACTCACAGGGAATTTTCCTAAGAGGTAGATACATATATGTATGCATGTGCATATGCATATAGATATGTATTCCCTCAAAGAGGACTGCTGGGCTAGCCGCTATTTATTTGGGTGAGCCCTCCCATGTTCAACTATGTCAGGGAACACCACTAGTCACACTGTGGTTTCTCTTATTGGGCTGCTTTGACCTTCGCTGGGGAAAGAGAGGAGACCCAATTCCTGTCAGGACAGCCCCTTTCTTGCTCAGCTCCTCTACTAGAATTCCCTTGGACCATCTTCTAGAGGGATACCAGAACAACTATCTAGGTCCAAACAATCAAATCTTAAATACAGAATAAAATTGTAGGTGATGGATTGCCATCTTGCTCTGTTTAAGTCATTCATATGCTAATATTTCTCAACTTACTTTAGCCAAAAGTTCCAAAATTTCTCCTTCATGTTTTTCATTAAAAAAATTTTTTTAATGTTTTATTTATTTCTGAGAGAGCGAGAGAGAGAGAGAGAGCGTGAGCGGGAAAGGGTCAGAGAGAGAGGAAGATACAGAATCTGAAATAGACTCCAGGCTCTGAGTTCACGGTCAGCACAGAGCCCAACATGGGGCTCAAACCCACGAACTGTGAGATCATGACCTGAGCCGAAGTCAGACGCCTAACCGACTGAGCCACCTAGGCGCCCCTTTCATTTTTTTTTTTTTAATGTTTATTTATTCTTCAGAGAGAGACAGAGCATGAGCAGGGGAAGGGCAGAGAGAGAGAGGGAAACACCAAATCTGAAGCAGGCTCCAGGCTGTGAGCTGTCAGCACAGAGCCCAATGCAGGGCTTGAACTCATGAACTGTAAGATAATGACTTGAGCCAGAGTCAGACACCTAACCAACTGAGCCACCCGGGCACCCTCATCTTCATGTTCTTTTAAAAATCCAAAATGCAAAAACATTTGCAACTGAACTCATTAATATCTGTACCACCTGTTAATTTTTTCTAGGTCACTAAAGCACTTCTGGCACAAAAAGCAATTTAGCAGGGACTCTGTACTCACACAGATCTTTTAATCTCCTCTCTCTAGATTCTCCAGTCATGGTTAAGACACCTAACATGACATCTCTCCTCTCCCCCCAATCTGTTTCCTGAATTCCAGGCTCTGTATTTTCAACTGTTCTGGAAGAACCTAACCTAAATCTGGAAGGAAAAAAAAAAGCCTTCCCCCCAAACCACCACAGTCTATGGAAATCAGGTATTTTCAAACATAAAAGGCATAAAGGTTAGACTGACAATCATTACAAGATAGAATCTTTGAAATAAATCACAGAACCTCTGAATATTTATTTGAAATAAATAAATCCTATGCTTGGCAGGAATAGTGTCAGATTTTCAGCCAACAAAATAAGGCTCTTAAAAATATGTTATTTCAAATGGGAAAAGAATGTTCATGTTTTTCTGAGTCCGTTCCTAAAAACTGTACAGTTTTTCCTTGTTTTTTATTTTAAAACTTAATGAAGCTTTGGGTCTCATAGTCCATTTACTTAAAATTACTCATTTTGGCCTCTAGACTATACTGTACCCAAGTTCATTGTGTCTGTCTCCTAAAGCAGCTCTTGCATTGTTAAGAGTAAGCCCCTTTCACTGTCGTACAATGTGAAACACAATGCCGTCGGCAGTCCTGACAGCAAGCGGCAAACTCAGGCCCCATTCCCAGGCCAGACAGTAAGGCATTGTGTAGCCCTGTTCAGGCTCCATAAACCTAACCGTGCTTCAGTTTCCTCATGATTAACCAGTAACATTTTAACACTATCTGCCACTTCCTTTCTTTAGGAGGACGTTAGGAGGCATCAGTTCAATGCATTTTGCTATAGAAAAGGCACCATACCAGTAAATCACTGTTCATCAGGATGCTCGTTTCCCTAAGGCGTCCTAGGTGACAGTCCATTTCCTCAGGCAAGCGTCCACCATGCAGCCCTGACACGGGTACTTCGCTTGGCCAGTCCACAGCAGCTTCCAGAGGGCTCCATCCCCTTCCAGCCCAACCCAAGGCACTAAAGACACACACCCCTTGGCTCTCGCTTGCAGCAGGGAGAAGTCTGCATTTTAACTATGGGGGGGGGGGGCATGTGCAACCAAGGTCATGGTCTCTTGTCTAGACTGCTTCAGTTCACAGGTCTTTTCACATAGGGTCTGTTATGACATGTTCCTTTTCAAAAGGACCCAGTGTATCTCTGATTATGTCGGGACACAGGATGTTTCCCCTTTGCATGCACATCCACA